GGAGCGCTTTCTAGCGCGTTAGTTAGATAAAGTACTTTAGGGCACGTTATAGATAGTAGTAGTACGTTATTAACTTTATATACGTTATAATTAGATATTAGAAAGAGTAAGCTAAAGATCTAATTTAGAATAAGTTAATAAGTAACTGCGTTGTTAAGACATAATATAATGTAGTGTCGACGTTGACGCGCTGGTAGGGCGCGACCAATTCGCTTAGGCAACTAATTCGCTTATGAACCACGTTAACGTTATATTAATACGATCTTTACAGATCAGAAAATTAGAGCTAAACTCTTCTTAGAAGTAAAGAGCTTTAAGATTATTCTATAGCTCTACTAGACTGTTAATTTCTTTAGTTTAAAGTAATAGCTTATCTTCAAGACTAAGCCTAATAATAAATAGTGCCTTTAATTATTATTATTCAAACGATTCTAGATAGTTACCTAATGTAGTATCAGATATCTTAGATATATCGCCACAGTCTTGTTAGACTAGAATCGATTAGATCCTTAGTGCCTATATATCGTAGTTTGAGCTCTCTTTAAGCTTTAGTACTTTAAAGATGCTATCAGCCATTTTAATCTACTATTCTAGATCGGCTAGTAAGATCGTAGATATGCTAATACTATCATAGTTACTATTCTTACTATAAAGAACTCTAGCTGCAGATTAATAGTTTAATTAATCAATCGTTTAATTAGTTTTAGTTAGCTGATCTGACTTTGGATGATAGAGTTTCTCAGCTATTAGCCGTATTTATTCTCTTAACCCTTATTGCCCTAGTTTAAGAATCTTTAACTACGTAATCTAGGCTCATAATCTATTAGAAAAAAGGGGTAGAAGTAGCTGCTTATTCTAATAGAACTCAGAGGTAGAGGTCTCTGCTTTCTACTTGTTTCTAGTAGACTTAGAGGTAGCTAGTCGATAGATTCTAGATAGAAAAGAAATAGTAGTAGGGGAGAGAGATAAAGATTAAATTAATCTAATAGTCTAATCATATTCTTATGATCTGCTCTACTCTCTATCTACTGTTTATTCTACTTCTATATACACTAGCTGCTCTAGATTCTAGAAGAATCTATCTTAGTAATAGATTGCGTAATCTTATTTCTAATAGATAGATAGATTAGATTAGGGATTGATAGATTGTTTAGGTCGTTAAGATTAGGGTGTAATATTAACTTGGGTTAGAGATCGGTATCGTCCTAACATAGATGTTACAAGCAACAAGCAGAAGGATCCTCTCCCTGGGTATGACGATGAATGGTTGGGAAACCACTGGGGATCCCAACGGGCATGATCATCGCGGGGCATTAG